CCCTGCATGGTTTCGGAGCCGTCAGGTTAACCAGGCAGCCTCATGCCTTTGGGCCTGTCTACACCCCTCCTTGTTTAGACCTGAGCTCGCATTAATGCCCACACACAGAATCACAGAAAAGTAGGGCTGGAAGGGACCTCTGGAGGCCACTTAATCCAACCCACTGCTCAAGGCAAGATCATTCCTGGCGATCCTGTCCTAGACAAGTTTGTCTAACTCATTCTTAAAAACACTGCGAACAACCCTTCGGGAACAGCTTCCAGTTCACACAACCTAACTGAAAGGAGCATATTTCACCCTTTCACTTAGTTTGGTCACTGCCTTCTTTCTTTTGCTCTAGGGACGGCCGTTTAGGGAAGGCAGTAGGACCACCTTTGCCCATCTCTCCGTGTTAGGCCCTTCTCTAGCCCCAGCTTTAACAATCACACTAGCCAGCTATTGAACGCTCCTGCCAAACCCACTTCCTGGGAATCAGCCACCAACTCCAGGGCTTCTGGGCTGCAGAAATTCCATTGCAGCAAGATCAGAAAAGACAGATTCTTCCATTTTTCCAAACCCTGCTATTTAGCCATGTCAAAGCACTATAAGAGGAATCTGGGGTTAGACCCACGTGTCATACCGGCCTCACTACACTTCTCTCTCCTACAACTGATTCATTTGGAGCTGTGAGGCTCATCTCTGATTGGTGAGTCAGCTGCCACCTCAATGGGCTGGGGCCAGCAATGGTGTAAGTCCAGTTCAGCTAAACCAAGATAAGTCTGGCCATTCAAAGTTATTTTCCTAGTGGGCCAGGACGTTTTCTAGTCTCCCCTGGAGAGCTCAGGTTCAAACACACAATGGGACATTGCCTACATGAGACATTAACTGTGGAGTTGCCTACTTAGCTGTGCACTAAACATCTTGGTGTCTACACGTGTGGCTCTATTAGGCCACAGGAAACTAAATTCCAGAGCAGGTTAGTACTTGTAAATATAACCTGCTGCGGAGTTTTTTTGTGAACAGCAATGCACAAGTAGATGCTGACAGGGGTGGCTGGGGCACGAGGGTGCTTCACCATGGGGGCTGCCTGCCAGCTAACCCCACAGTGAAGCACTCCCTTGCCCCAGCCAGCCCTCTGCAGCACGTCGAACCAGGTCTGAGCAGCCCCAGGCTGGCAGGCTGACCCCCCGGACCCTCTGCCAGCTAGAGCTGCTCTGATCTGGCTCAACATTCTGCAGTCCTGGGTGCACATTCAATTAATGCACCCAGAAGCAACAAACTCCAGTGTGATACACACCTGAGTTTATTGCTGCATGCCAGTAGCACATGTAGACACACCCAAAGAGTGCTCAAGTGTAGCATGACTAATTTTGAACAGGTGTAGGCAGAACTGAGTACAGTTCAGCATGAAAAGCAGTCTGTGATCCAGGACAAGAAGAGCAGGGATTGCTGCAGGTAATGCCAAGGGCTTCAGCAGAGTGGTGGGAAGGTCGGGAGTAAGAAGTACGGCTGCAGGTGTGATCCGCATACTGGGTACAGTGTAAGGAGCCCTCACACTGTGAGAAGCTGTCCTCATTGCAGTCAGCTCTAAACAGGCTTCCTGCTCCCTGATTTCCATGAGTAGAGAAGTAAAATCTGCATTTCCACCTGCTATGGCTGCATCTTCCCTTCCTAGGGTAACACCTGTTCCACCCAGGTCCTCTGCTTGTCCTGAGTTCTGCTCCATCTGGGCTATCCCTGCTGCTGCATGCTAACTTAGTGCTTCAGACTCTTTTGCTGACATCCTACGTTTTTGCACGCAGAGTGCTGGAGCAAGCCACGTCACACTGGCTGTTTGTACTCAAATACTGCCACGACACGCTCCAGTGAGAGCTGTGACTCAGACAGATTCAAAGATGTGCAAAGCACCCCACACCACAGACACCAGAAGCTTCTGGGATTCTCAGAGCGGCAGGAAATAACATCCCCCCAGCACCTTATCTGAGGCTGCAGAAAAGCACAGGTTCCTGTTGCTGCAATGTAAAGCCGATATGAGTACTCTCATGCTGCATACGTGGGCAGCCACAGTCCCACTCAGCCTCTTCCGCCCTCAGATTTCTGCCTCAGTTACAATTACAGCTTCCAGTGCCTTAGTCATTCCATATGTACTTGGTTTTCAGACAGGACACTCCCCCTGTGCCAGAGAGGCGCTGGCTCGGGTTCTTTATATAGTCACGGGAATAGAGATGTAGTCACAGCATTGAACATGGGCAGCAGCCTGGGCAGGCTAGCAGAGATGTACCCAGCATGCTCGCATGCAGTGGCCACCACTGCCATCGCCACCACTGCTGCATCTGTGCTGCTTTCACACAGCTGGTCGCACGTACAGCTTTGTGGGCTGCTGACGGGCAGCGCACGCCTGGCCAGGCACGAAGCCCATCAGCAGCCTGCAGAGGAAAGCGGCATAGGCATGGCAGCACTGGTGGCGGTGTGGGGCGGTGAGTGGCAGTGGGTGTCAATGGCAGTGGTGGCTGCCATGTATGAGCCCCTCCCCCATTTGGCCCCTCCACTCTGTGCCACCACTACACACAACCTCAGGATAGCATGGGGGGCACGTGCCCCCGGATCTGGGTGGGCTGACAGTGAGGACCAGGGCCAGAGCTGTGCCAGGCTCTTCGTAGCAGGGGGGTCGAGCAGCGCTGTGCTTGGGCCAGGTGGTAGCAGTGCTGGGATGGGGGTTGTGGGGGCTACAGCAAATTCTGTAGTGGCTGTGGCCCCTCCTGTACTCCCACTGCCAGCACCACCACTGCCTGCCCTGAGCAAATCCTGGCCTGGCCTCTCACCAGGAAGAGCCCAGCACTGCCCCGGTCCAAGCCTGCCCTGTGCACAGATCTGGGGGCATGCGCCCCCCCCATGCCCTCCTGGGGTGCATGCAGAGGTGGGAGCTGCTCCCCTCTCCCCCCGCGCCCTTCAGATGAGCCACTCGCAGCTTCATCCTGCTACCACCCTGCCCCGGCTGTGCAATGCCTGCCCCAGCCCCACTCCCTCCCTCACTGCAGGGGCCTTGATCTGCCCCACCACCCTTAAAAACAAGGGGGAAAAAAAGGGAGTACAGGAGTTGAAACTTTGAGTCAGAAGGGGTTGAAAACCCCTACTGTGGGCCATCCAAACTCATTTTCCCTCTTAGCACAGGATTTTGGAATTGTGAGCTTAGTTTGGGGTTATTTTGCCCCCAGTGGCTTGGCACAGAGAGACAGCAAGGGTGACTTTTCACCGTGATGAGGCCACTTCACTCTCATCCCTTGGAAATACCGGATTTTATTTTTCTAAAGTTGTGGAAGTGAATGTATAGCAAACCGCACACCTACATTTGAGAATCTCAGTAGGGCTTAGGCATGTGGGCCCCACACCTCCAACAGCAGGAAGTTTGGGAACACAGGGTCTGGTCCAAAGTCCACTCAAGACAACAAAAGGACTTTGGATCAGGCCCATAAGCAGGGATCTGGGATCCAGAAGTTATTGCCCCCGGCTCCCAAGCACTGCCCCCCAGCAGCAAAACTCCCCTCCTCCACCCTCACACTGCTCCCCGCATTACAGGAGTGAAGCAGTGGGCTCTATAAGGAACAGTAAGAGTTAACACCGGATCCTGGCAAGGTGTGGGATTAAGCAATTTGCACAGAGCCCTAAATCCCAATCTGGTTTTGCCCTATGGTCCCTCCCCACATGCATGTGGCTCCTTGGAACAACAGCCAGACCAAGACCACACTAGAAGCCTTTGTGGAAGAGGGAAGTGGGATGGGGGAAATGTGGACAAGGATATACTGGCAACCTTTTTACACTGGCAAAACTCTAGTGTAAAGGCAGCTGTGCTGCACATAAGTGCTCTGCTGGGATGGCTTGTGTCATTTGGGGACCTGTGTGAAGCTTCATCCCAGATGTGGCTGAGAGGGGACAGCTGGAGCAAAACCCGTTTCTGCAATCTTGCATTTAAACTAAAGACTTGTGAACTTGTGAGTAGCACAGGAAGAAAGTCAGGCTTGCATATCCTCTTCAGGAAGAGAGACCTTCTCAGACACAGGGGAGCACCGATGGGGAGGGGACAGTGTCTCTGAAAGTCTCCCAGATCTTATGGAAACATCTCTTCTTAACCCTAACAGTTATGATCCTTGGGGAGCTGCATGTTCCTGAGACCAGTGGGAAGCAACTGCACCACCCAATATCGTGTTCGTCTGAACACCTGGGATGAACCAGTTTACCAGTACATATCCACCTGGGAAGGACTTAAGCACATGTAGACACAGGGCTGCACTGGAAACAATAAAGGCAGGGGGAGTGTGCGAGGGTCAGTCTAAATGGGCTAAGGCTTCAGCAGCTCCAGGAAGAAAGAAGGTGGCTCAGCCTCTACCTTGACACCATCAGACATTTTGTGAGCACTTTGTCACCAGAATGGCTGAGACAAGGCAAGGCTGGGATCTTCTTCCCACATGCCCTCATGGCCCACAGTATGAAGGCCCTAGCCCCAGCTTCTTTTAAGAGCCCACTCAGACCCTTGCCTTTGAATTTGAAGAGCCAAGAGCAAAGAGACTCCCCCGTGGAGTGCCTGAGCCCGGGTACCACTAGCACGGCTGTCACTGCAAGGCAGTACCAGAAGGGTTTCAGAACAGTCTCTTCCGGAGTCTAAAGTCCTGGGATTTAGTCTTAGTGTGGACTAGCACTGGCATCTCATTCAGCTACGTGGTGTGCAGACAGGGATTTTACATGGCTGCTTCCCAAAGTGTCCCTGATGTTTAAGGCAGGTCCCTGAACCTCACAAGGGGCTCTGCATTGTCTCAGGAAAACACCTTCCCCATGTCTGGAGGAGAACAGAGAGCTGTGAGGCTGGTCCTGGTCCAAAAGAACTACAAGATGGATGTAATGCATTTCTATGGCTGATGAGAACAAGCCGGCCCAGGTGCTGTCATGTCAATTAGAAAGGCCCGATCTGTGGGCCACTGTACTCACTGCATAAGAAGCAGGACTTGTGGAAGCTGTTGCCTTCACATTGCACCTCCTCAGCAAAGTACACTGTCTTCTGGCATACGCCGCACTTCTTCCCTCCACCCCAATTCGGCATCCTGTGGAAAAAGCAAAGAGAAGTAGCTTCACTCCTAAGGGACTACGCATTGCAACAGCTGGGCAGGAGGGTCAGAAGACTTGGAAAGAGAAGCAAATAAAAGGGCTGTCTGCACATACCCTGGAAAAGCCACTAACACTGCTGTCCTTAGCCTGGGGCACGCAGGCCCCAACCAAGGGCATCTGAATTTTATCAAGAGCTCAAGCACTCCACCCAACCTATGTCATGCAGCAGACCTGAGCCTCCCACACCTTTAACACGCTATTTCAGGTGTGGACTTGGTAAATCCCAGCAAGCAATGGGTTCAAGAGCTTTCTAGCTTTATTCAAAAGGCAGAAGGGCCACTGCACCTTTGTAGATAGTGCAAGCTGTCCCTGGGCACTGAGGAGGAGGGGGAGTGGGAAGCATTTAGGACATTGGCCATAGGGCCAGCTGCCCTCACTGGTACCAGGGACACAGGCAGGAAAAGAGTAGCTGCTTGTGTCAGGTCTCCCTCCCAGCAGTTGCACGGGGCGCTCAGTAGAGCAGATGAGGCAGACGAGACTAACTGCCCACCAGGAACCTGGGGAAACTGGATTCCCTTTTTGCAATTCAAGATGATCTGTTTGCTTGGACTCCTGAACTCCAGGAACTTCAGAGGAGAGAGAAGGGTGGGAAAGGGAATTTAAACAGGGCAGGTTAACCACACTTTTCCTGGACCACACCTCTGGCCCAGGGCGGCCACCAAAGCACGTAGGTACCATACATGGGACTCACATGATTAGTCCTGCCCTGTGTCAGACCCCAGAATATTCAAGAATTCACTAGACTGACTCCACCCTTCCCAGGGACTTTGTACAGGGGTGGGGAAGACAGGAGGACAGGCCTGGAGGAACTCACCTGGAACGTCCAAGCCTTATTCCCAGCCCTGCAGTTACCACCCAACTGAATAGCAAAGCGGCAGGCATTCTTCTAGGTCTGGCTAGCTGGAGCTAGGGAAACGCCGCAGGCTTGAAAACTTTCAGGAGAGAGACTCAGGCTGTCTGAACTTCTGCCCTCTCTGCGAGTGAGCGAGGACTTTAGAAGGGATCGTCCACCAAGGCAAGAGACCACATGCGACTGCTGCGTACACCCAAATTCTGCAGTGCAGAGCTCCCCACATCCCTGCACGTGCCCTGTTCAGCTGCCCGTTAACCTTGCACGTATTGTCCCTAGTTCCTGAAGATTTCAGCTGGACTCTGGATCCAACCATACAGGAAAGAGACAAGGAGTACAGGAATCCTGCAAGGGGCTTACAGACCAGCTTAACAAATGCCACAGCACTGAACTGCCTTGCGTGGGCCAGCCCTGGAATTCCTCCTCAGCTGAAAGCAGCCGAGAGGACAGGGGAGATTCCTATCAAGTCTCCCCTCTCTGTCCCTGGAAACTCGCTGCCCTGCCAAGACACGAAGAGCAGGAATCACTGATTCTTGCATCCGCTCAAGATGCCCAGAAATGCTGAGTGACCTGTCCCAAATGAAATCTGCAGGACCTACAGAGGCTGAGGGAGGATTTGCAGTGGTTCATTCAGGATCAGGCTCCCAGTTCATGTTGCCAGGATGAAACAGTTCATTGTCTGTTTTCTCACCAGCTTGAGAACCAGCGACTCTCCTTAAGGAGCTCTCTTCCCACGAGGCCCTGGAGGGGCTCGGTTGGGAGACTGCTCCCCTTGTTGCTGTAGCTCGGGTAGAGAAGACGTTCGTTCTGAATCCGTCTCACCGTGGGAGCGCGCAGCTGGAGTCGGTCACTTCACCTCCCCTTGCCCGTTGGCTCAGCACTAACTAAAGCAGCAGGGCAAGTTCCCAAGAGCTGCCCAGACTGCCACTGCACGCAGCGGAGAAGCGTGCACCCAAAGGCCACACGTGGGGGCCCATGGCCTCCGCCAGTCCTAATCTAAGGCTCTGTTGGTGACGAAGCATAGGCCAGCGGGGGATAGATGGGGCTCCTCGGTCCCACGGCTGCCCAGGGTCCACGCTGCTCTGCCCCTAACTCTGCGTGACCATGGGAAACTCACTCTCCTTACTGTTACACTGCTGGGGTATAAATAATACCATATAAAGCCAGAGAAGGTGCCTGTTGCTTTTCTCTCTGGGGCAGTTAAGAACTAGTTCTAATAAAACAGCTATTAAAAGCTTTAGTAAAAATCCTGAGTGAAGATCAGTCACTAGTGGCATGAGTTTGGTGTTCCCAGCCTAGCCTCCAAATGCAAGGACTCCGGGTGAGGACCACAGACAGGGCAGCACCGAGGTGCTGTGGGGTGATCCCCAACTGCAAGCCAGGACTAGAGCTGTGAAGAGCAGCTGGGCCTGTTGCGTCTTGCACATGTGGCGCTCTTGCTTCCTTATTCACAGTCATATAGAGAAATTCAACACAGAAGCGAGCTGTGCCCTCTGCAATATCAAACAGCTACCCTGGGGTGGGGAACGGTGCAGGCTCTAAGGATCGGAGGCTCCACATTATGAGCAGGACAGACTCACTAGGATTAGTGCCAGCAGTTGGGAAAGCTTTTGTCCTGCTTCTTCTCAGGGCCCCGCAGGCTGGGTTTTGTGTATGTCTCATCCTTCCCTATTTCGCCACTGCCAAACCCCTCCCTTTCAGCCAAATCATTCTTTGGATTGCCTTAAAAGGACACAACTTTCTCCACGGTCTGTAACTGCATTTTGCAGAGGTGAGAGGGAGTCTGATCCTGCATACTCTCACCAAAGGGGAGGCTCCCCAGAGGCAGAACCTATCCCAGACATGTGGCACCCGCCATGCGAGACTGCCTGCCAGCCACGGCCCACATGTAGGCCTACCACGAGTCCTAGGAGAAGGCAATGGGGCAGACCTCTCCTGCAGCTAGGCGAGAGCTCCTCAGCCCCTCATCACAGTCTGCTCCCAGCGCTCCTGTGCTTCGCATCCCCATTTCAGAGGGAATGAAACCAGTGTTGGGAAAAGCAAGGGATGGATTTGGTAGCCGTGTTGGTCTAAGACAAAAAGAAATGCAAAAACCTAACGCTCTTGGTGCAGAGATGATACCTTTTATTAGGCCCACCGAGAAAAAATAATATTTAAATATATAAATAAATAAATATATTTCATAGATTTTTCATAGGCGTTAGGGCTGGAAGGGACCTTGGGAGATCATTGAGTCCAGCCCCCTAATATATAAAAGCTTATATATATAAATAAAAGCTTGCAGAAAAATTTTTTTTTTTTGCAATTTCTCAGCTGATCTAATACATGGTGTCAACTCTGAACCAAGAGTTCTACGCTTTTTTCACTTCTTTTTGGGAGAAGCAAGGATTTCCTTTTATTGGACCAACAATGTAGTTGGGATAAAGTCAGACAAACTTTCAAATGCAGGACATTCTTTGAAATCCAGCAGAAGCGGTGTTCGGAGGGGGGGCGCTGAGAGAAATGCTCAGGGTTAGCAGATACAATCCTTGCCTCTCTCAATCTCTGGACTGTTGTGGCTACAACATCACTCTTAAAAGTGTTGGCCACTTATAGTTACTGAAATGCCTCCTGGACCTCTTCCCCACAAGTCACTCCCAAAATGTTACCTCTGGGCAAATTCCAAGAAGGAACAGGGATAAGAAAGAGCTACAGGTCTGTTCTGGTGCTCGAAGGGCAATGGAGAGCCAGGGACAGGGAATGAGGAATCGCCAGGTCAGATCAGATCTGGTCCAGACCTGTCTCTGCACCCACTGCTTCACCGGATGGTGTGAAAACCAGAGGCATAACTGGCAAATGCTGTGCCCTGGGAGATGGTAGGGGATGGTGTAGGAACAGCAGCTAGAGATCACCCCTGCGGGGGAGGGTATGTCACCTTTTTTGCCACCAATGTGCAGGTCAAGTAGCCATTTAAACAGTAGTTTCACTGGCAAAAAAGGGGGAGACATCTGCCCCAGCAAACAGCAAGCCTCCAGCTGCTGGTCCCTCGAGACCTGCTGCTGCTGCTACCTTGGCCTCCCCACTGCCAGAGATGCATTCACAGCTGCTGCAGCTGCAGGGAAGATGCGGGGTGCCCAGGAGAACAGGAGCAAGGCACATCTCCCCAGATTAATTTGGCCACCCCTGGGGTCCAGGACTGCCCTGCTGGCCTACTCATTGTTACTTACTGGTGATGACCCCTTGCAGATGGACAGGGCATAATCCACTCCCATACAGGTGTCATCTCAACCCCCTACCTCCCAAGTAATGATGAAGGATACGTTTTTATCACCCTTCAAAAAGGTTGTTAGCAAGATTCAGAGAGGGATCAGACATTTGAACAAAACACAAGCATCCTGAGTTGCAATGCTAAGTTTCTGACTTAAACGCCATCCTGTAGCAATATGTGCTGCAGTGAAGAATCACACACCGATAGGAGGGAAAGCTTTTTTCCCCAATTTTGAATTTACCACCTTTCTGTTTCATTGTTTCCTTGCCGCAGTGATATCATGCGGGAAGAAAAGAAGCTCCTTAGTTTACTTTTTTTATTCCAGTCACACATGTTAGCCATGTCCCGTTGCTGTTCTTGAATTGCATAGGTGGTGGTCTCAGTCTAACTGTGGAAAATACATGAAAGCTATTGATCCATATGGTAAGTGGGTGATCTGTGTTTAGCAATGCCCAAAAATTCACACAGCAATGGATTTGATTCAGTTTAACTAGACATTGGGGAAGATGTAAAAAATAAATCGTGGGATAGAGTGAAGTAGTGGGAAAATTAATAATTTTTTCTTAAGTAAGTATGTAATCCTTTCCGTATCAGTAATAATATAGTCAGACTTGTCTCAGAGGACAGCAAATGGGTTTCTTTGGATTCTCCAAGACCAGTACAGCACTTAATGAAATATGGAAATTGTTAGCGACATTGTTTAGCTGGACAGTTTTAAACAAGATGTTTTCAATACTGTCACCACAGTGTAAATGCCTAACTAAGTCCCTCACGAGATTACCAAATGAAGGACCATGCCATAAAACAAAAAAAAAAAAGACTGCCTGGACTTGAGAAAA